CTCTCTCTCTCCCTCTCTCTCTCCCTCTCTCCCTCTCTCTCTCTCTCTCTCTCTCTCTCTCTCTCTCTCTCTCTCTCTCTCTCTCTCTCTCTCTCTCTCTCTCTCTCTCTCACTCACTCACTCACTCTTACTATGTGCATGTATGTATGTGTGCATGCGTGTGTCTATATGTAGCCATTGCCAGTGCGGGGCTCATGATCGGCAGTGGGGGGCGGAGGGGGGAGCGGGGGATACTAACCCTCTCCAGTCGGGGAATGATGCGGTCAGGTGACCTCTGACCTGTCAGCATTCCGTCTAGTCAGTCCTCTGACCTGACCCGACCCGGCTACGAGCAATGCTTGGTCGAGGAACTGCTGGATGAATGGTCGCTTCTCAGGGTGGGGCTCAAGAAAGGATAGACCAGGGAGGATTGGAGGTTCATCGAAAGTTATACTTATTAGACATGCATTATTAATGAAACGCCATGCATTATCAAATCGACGACCGGACGAATATGTGGAACCGAAATGTAGTAAACATATATTTAGCGATGGGTGTGTGTAACTGTATGGACAATGGACAGTAAGTGCACAAGAGCTTTCAGCTATGTGACCCTTGGATGTAGTTGGACGTAATAGAAAGCAGGCCAGACAATTAAAGACAATTTCTGCATAAAGATAACTTTATAGAATCGATGAAGGAAACATGCACTTGAAAATGTACTGCAAAAGTTTTGATCGTGCAAATGACTATTACACTACCTAATGATGACGAAAGGCACAGTAGCGCGATAAACGATTGCTATTGAGGGAATGTAATGCTAAGCATGCAGCTACAAAGCATATTAAATACAGCAATGTGGATTGTGGAATGGGTGCGTTAGACATCTTCTGTGCTTGAGAAAGCAGTATTTGTCATTTATGACCCATGCTAATACCCGTTATTATTCAGCTTCTTACTTTTTAGCCCTTCCATATGACAGCTTTGTCTCGCTAACAACCTACATAGTCTATGTACGCTCAAAGCACACGAGCATGCTTGCTAAGCAATAAAAATGTTAGTTTTGAACTTACAAGATAACAAGCATGAACTATTGGGAAGAGCCGCAACGAATGTGTCGGATGATTAGGTGTCTGCATACGGCATAGGCACGTTGAAGTTATGAGATCAGGATTAGATGTTGTCAGGTCAGGTTATAGTGGGTGAGGTAGAGTCCTTTGATCTAGTCCGAAGCGTAACGTCGAGTCAGTCCTTGTCTGCTTAGCACTGGTCCATTCTTGTAAGGTCAGGTCGATTGTTGCGTTTTTTACAGGAAAATTTATTGATGATAATCAACTAATTTATCAACTACCAGCAACGAAGCAAATGAAACTGGTTTTTACGTTTTTAACATTCACACCTTCATCATTTGTGATCGAGTTTATTTTAGGTAAGTGTTTCGGCGAAAAATGTGTGAGCAAAAAAGGAGAATGCTTGTATTTTCAGGGCACATTTAAGTGGAATCTATGAGTCTATGAATGCATAATTATAAGCACGTTATTTGAATTAAAAAACAAAATCAGTTTAGTCTACACATATAGTCATGTCGCCCTTCTCAAACTGGTACGGTTTAAGTCGAGGCAGGTCGAAGACAGTCAAAATAAAGATCAATAAAGATAAGTTGGGGTCAGCTCTGCCGGGTCGTTTTCGCGTCGAGTCAAATGTCAACAGATCGAAAATGCCATATCCGATTGGGTTATGGTCAGTCCACGTCAGAATTCGGTCAGTCAGGATCAGGTCAGGTCAGCCAGGATCATTTCAAGTCAGTCAGGTTCAGGTCAGATCAGATCTTGTCAGTCAGGATCAAGTCCGGTCAGCCAGGATCAAGTCAGGCTAGTCAAGATCAGGTTGGAACCAGGTATGAGTTAGATAAGGATAAGGTCAGACCAGGTCGCTTTAGGCCGGGTCAGTTCGGGTCAGCCGACTGCAGACGGGCTGCTGATCTAGGTCAGAGAGTCACTCGGCCGTCATCTGCTCCGACTGGAGACGGGTCAGTCCCGCACCCGTCCCTCACCCCTCCCATCCGCCGACTATTGGCAGCCCGCACACCAGCTCCTGGACACATACACACACGCGCGCACACACACAAACACACGAACACAAAAATGCACAGAGACACAAGTACGCACACATCGTATACACACATACACGCGCGCACACACACACACACCAACACACGAACACAAAAATACACAGAGACACAAGCACGCACACATACGTATACACACAGACGAACACATGAGCGAGCAAACATACACATTTAATGTGCACATTTAATGTGCATTTAATGTGAACGTGTGCCTCATCGAAGATTTACGGATTTATATTTACCGATTTACATTGAAAAATTTAATGACGTGTCAATAAAATTATTAGGACGACTTTTGGTCCATTTCTCAATCACGTTATTTAAAAATTGCTTCCCAACTAACGTGGGTCCATAGGATGTGTTTTAAAGGCCTTCATATGGTTGGTCCCATTGCTATAATGCTATGATGGCCTAGAATTGCGCAGACTCAGAAACTACTGGTAATCAAAAACACTATTAAATAATTACAGCTTAAATGTAATGATACAAGAGTCGTGTTCAATTTGATGTAAGAAGTTCGAGTTATTATTCATAGACTAGATACTCATCCTTCAAATATTTTCCTTAGATGAATGAGCATACTATTATGTATTTGAACTTAGGCGTAGCTATTTCTTGTTTGGGTGTTTTGTATAGGATATTGTTCGTGCCCTTACTCAAGATAAGACATTTCAATGGGAAATATTTACATAGGCAAGTTAATAGTCTACTCATTATTATTGACTTGTTTTGTGACAGATTAACACTAAAACGAACATTTAGGTGATATGAATAGTCATAGATCACATGAATCTATGATTCATGTTATCTATGGAATAGTGAATGCACAAATACAAAGGACCGTCGACCACACAAGTTAAATTATCGGGAGGGATGCTTGAACAATGTACAAATATACAAAACACTGTACTAGAACGGAGCCCAGTGGGCATATTGGTTCAGATGAGAAAGACTGTATAATCACAACGGTAACCTAAAGGCTTCCAGCTCTCGACAAATAGCTGCTGAATATGAGGCTCGACACAACATCACCCCTTCCACAGACCCAGTGCGATCGCCCACAGTTCACGCAGAGGTCTCTAAGAAGGTCAACAAGGCCTCTCAGACCCCAAAGCTCAGAGGTCTTTCAGAGGTCAGTGGTCGCCGGTCACAGACCGGGTCACAGGTCACATCTCAGCTGCCAGCCGTTCCCAAGGAGGTAGTGAGCATGACTAGGTGGATGCAGCATGTGCGTGGACCTGCAGCCTGTGCTTGCACAGTTCTCGTAGTCTCACGCCGGCTAAACCTTTGGTGCGAAAATGACTAGTGCTGAATAAAAACATGACTAGTCCAGATGGTGACAGTAGCCATAAAGCGGCAGCTGAACGTCCGATGTAACCCAGTCGGCTCTACGAACACTGAGATAGCTGGATAGCTGCATTGGGTCTAGTCCAGGTGCACTGCGTAATCCATGTCACTCAATATTTGTTGAGGTTTTGCTCACATAAGTGACGAGTAGGTGGAACTGAGCTTACTGGAGCGCAGGGCCAGGCGATCAAAATAATTCAACGACAGCGCGAGCTGTTGAGCTCACTGAGGTAATTGTACGGCCAAGAGTCGACTGAGTTCACACAAGCAGCCAGTAGTGTTCAGCCTGCACTCACGAGAGCGGTAGGTGGCCGTACTGAGCTCAGGCGAGTGATAAGTGAACTAGCTCGCAAAAGCGGCAGTGGTGCCGATCTGAGCTCACAGTAGAAACCGATACACAGTCTGAGCTTGCTAGGAGCAGGGAGTAGTATGTGGCCTGGTTCTGCCTACATGAACGATAAGTGGCATGACTCAGTTCACAGAACAATATGTGATGTGCCCGAGCTTGGTCTGAGCTCCCAGGAGATGCAGATAAGCCCATCTACGCTTACAGGAGCGGTAGATGTCAGCTCGCAGGAGCGGTACCTAAGTCTCTGCTCGTAGGAGCTGTAGGTGAGTCAATATCATCTAACGGGAGCGGTAGGGCTCTGCTGACAGAAGATGCAGGTGAGTCAGTCCGAGCTCACAGTAGCGGCAGGTAGGCTGGCCGGCCGTCGGTGGACGGCGGCCAGCACTCCCAGACGGAGGGAGGTGCCGGCAGCGCCACCTGTCGGTAGGCGGCCTCCTCAGTCAGCGCCGGTACTCCGTCCCAGTAGGGGGCGCTGGCGGGCCCGGCCCACACCGGTACCCAGGGCAGCACTGCAACGACACGGAACGGCGGTCAGACGGGACAAGTAACGGCGGTCAAATGGGACACGGAATGATAGTCAGACGGGACGCAGAAGCTGGCACGGAGTTACAGAGAGAAGGGGTGAACGAACTAGTGGATGTTTCGTAGCGTAGGTGCAAGAGACGCAAAACTGAACGACAAATAGGTCAGTTATGAGTAGTCATTAATTAGCCCTTGAAGAATATTACACAAACCATACTTCACTGACGAAAACAAGAAGTGAATTTAGCGACTGGTGTTTTAATCATGTAGTTCTCATGTGCATTGATCTTACGTGTCATGGCCTGCGGGTACTGCTCCCACTGCTGCTGCTCCTGGACGTGAGCCGTCTCCGGCTGCGGCGGCCGCGGCGGCTGCGGCTGGTATTGGTGTAGAGGCTGCGGCGGCTGCTGCGGCTGACAGAGGGACAGGTCGAGGCCAGGGTAGGGCGCCGGAGCGACACAGGCCGGCCCCGCCAGTGGCGCCCCCGCCGGCGCCCCGGCGGCGTACCCCGGCGCCCCCGGCGGACTCAGGCGCGCTCGCTTGGTGGCGCCCTCGTCGAACTGGAGTCTCCGCTTGGCGGAGCCACCGTCGGCGTGCTCCGCCGCCGGCCGCCGTTTCCTGGGTCGGGGAGCGTCGTCCCCGGCAGGCCTCTTGGCTGGTCGACTGGGCGCCTTCTCAGGACGGGTGGGTGTCTGCTCAGGACGACTGGGTGTCTTATGGTGCTCGGGAGTGACTGAAGAAGAACAAGAAGTCCCACCGGACGGAAGGGTCTGGACGGAACCAGCTGACTCACCAGGTCTGGTAGTCTCAGAAAGTTCAGCTGGCTCTGTTCTAGTCGATTCTACCGCTGAACTGGTAGTGATAGTGGCCTCCAAACGCTTTGCGCCATTGAGGTTCTCTTTACACGGGCTACTGATCTCACTATTTGACTGTGGTTGAAGAGGCGACCCTCGGGCTCGTGGATCATCCGTCTCGGTACCCAGTGGACCCCGAGACTCAGACCCTCCACTTGACAAGCATCGGGGCTCAGTTTCAGAAGTTGAACATTTCTTAGGCTCCTTATCCGTAGCTGAGGCTCTCCGGAGCTCGGTCTCTGCAGCTGAGGCTTTCCGAGGCTCTGTGGACTCGGCTCTAGTGCCCTCAGGAGAGCCGCTGTCACCTCCTGAACCGCCGCTCGCCTCATCATCAGCGTCAGCGGCGCTAGAGTAGCGCTCCGTATCGCTCAGATACCGGAGCAGCATCTTCTTTTTGTACTTTGGAGAGCCGGCGGCCGGAGGTGAACGACCACGACGACCTGGAGAGGTCAGTGTCGGCACCGCACTGGGGTCAGACGGGTCGACCCGGTCAGCGGGGTTGGTGAGGTCACTGGGGTCGCCGGGGTTGACACCGTTCAGCTCGATGCGCTGCTCCGCATCGATGCCGGTAGAGGTCTGCTGTCTGGTGTCGTCACCTGTAACAGGTGGAAATAAGCGTCACCGCTGGGGAGCGTCGACGGATATAAAAAGTCATATCGACACAGTGCTGTCTGAAACATCCAGTCGTACTATTCGAAATGCATGCACATATACCTCCGATACGTTTTGATAATTGTTCACGTAACCGGTAACACACTGCCGTGTCGGGTTCGTTACCATATCCTGTTGAAAAGTTGTGCCTTCGTGCGTAAATGCCACGAGGTCCTAGCCAGTATGTAAAGTTAAAACTATGCAATGCATGCATAGAAATTTAAATATAACCCGACGGTAGCCAACGCATTTTGTTCCAATGTGTTATTTGCAGAGGAGCGCAGAGGAACTGCACGAGTTCGATGTTCTTCCATGTCTGATGACTGCGACTCTGCCTGCGCCTTTTTCATGGTGTATTCATTATCTGCATTGGCTGCGCTGTGTTTTTGCTCGTGTGACACGCCTCCTCTGTGCACTGTTCCATCGACTGTCGGAGTCGCTGCGCCGCGTGGTCGGGCGAGGCACGCCCCGATAGCTGGCCAGGTGCCCACTCCGCTTACACCCCCGCTCCTCTCCTCTCTCCACCCGCTCTGCACTCTCTCCAGAGCCCCGCCCCGACCCACGTGCCTCACAAAGTCCTGCACAGGCTGTGGGTCTCAGCGTGGTGTCTCCCCTGTAGCGTTCGACTGGTGACTCGTGCCGTGCAGACACCTCGCGGGGAGGGTGTCTGCCGCGCGGAGACTCCCGCTGAGACCTCCTGCCCTGCAGAGCCCTGAGCGGAGAGCCTGTCCCCGTCTGACCGCACTCGCGAACCCCCCCCCCCCCCCCCACACACACACACACGGCGCTGTAGAGGGCACATGCTGGGTGCCGACGTGTTGCCAAACGGCCTCTCTCGGACCCTGTAACATCGCGGCGCTTGCGGTGGAGCCGCCCCTGCCCGGCTGTGCAACATGGCTGAAACGGTTCGCAGCGACGCAGGACGAGTTATGGTGCTGTTAACGTATTTGAGAACGACCCCGTGACGGACATCAGCAGGGGAGCCGAGGACATCTCGGGGAGTGGAACCGAGTGGAGCCGGGAACGGTGAAATGTCACACGCATTCGTATGCCAATGGCTGAGTGAATGACATGCCGTGCATGGTTTAGTGCGGTAGGTGGTGGCAAAAAATTCAGGGTTCATTCCAATATTTATGTGTTGTTGATAAGAAAATTCGATCATATTTGGAATGCAGTGGTGACTGGTGATGATTAATTTCAAATTAGACGAACAATCTACTCCATCCGTCTAAGTGATGAAGATGGACTGGTTGACTCCGATTTTGAAGTCGTAACTTAAAACAGTAAACCAGTGTTCGCCACGGGCCGGGCCAGCCCAACGGGCCATGGGCCGGGCTGGGCTACGGGCTGGGCCGGGCCCCCAAATATCATTAGTTAACGGGCTATGGACGGGCCGGGCCAAGAGCTTTGTGCACTATGGGTTTTGCGACTAATGTCAATTTAAGAAAATTTGGAAACTGATGCAAACAAAACCCACTGGGGAAATACAAAAACTAAACCAAATTTAAGCAATGCAAAAGAAAACCTACTTGATATTGAATTTTGGGAATCTTGAGAACTATCCAATATCACATCATGTCACACATAGGAGGGTTTTCATACAAATTCCGCAACCAAAAAGATCAGAGAATCTCTAGCATCATTAGTTTGTTAATAAAAGTTAAAATGTAGTCATCAAAATAACTTACTTAGCACTAAAACTCCAAAAACTAAGAAGCCACTCAACAATGATGGGCTACAGGGCTACATTAAGTTTAACACATATATGGCGATAGTGAGACAATTCCAACACAGTCTTTTTTCCTTCACCGACGGCTTTTTAACGAACAGAACCTTAAAAGGATACTCACAAAACACACTGTACGTAACGAGGAACTCTACAGAGTATTTCGCGATGAAAGCTTCTTTAAATGTCCATAAATTTGTCAAAATAAATCACAACAAACCAGCGCCTTCTCAACAAAACTTGCAATCATGGCGGCGGCGCTATGTTTATGTGACGGCATCTAGGTAGTATACACAACAGTATATCAAATAAATACGTTTTTTAAGTAAGTATCAAGGTGTAAAACAAAATTTAACAAATAAAAAATAAAACCTAAATCACGAAGTCTGAAAACACGAACGAAAAACAAAACAAAAACTTGATCATATATGTTTTATTATACAATTGGTCAGGATCGCTACCTACCGCAGCTGCGACAATCAAGAAGTGTTCGCTCATTTTCGATTGATGATAATGATGCGTAAAAGTCGCAAAAGTACCCAATGACATTTCAAGCTTACCATGTTTTCTGCTTACGCTGCTAGCGATATCCATATCTTGAAAAGAGCCTAACATAAAATAGCAAGGAAAGTAGCAGATAGTTGTCCACAGAGATTCGGTTGACACGTGGGCATGAATTGAGAATAGATTAAATCAGTTTTGCTGATAAATGGATGGATTTTCTCTTCTTTTGGAAGACAGTGCTTAAGTTAGTGTCACCTATTTTGTATGCTTTCTCAGGCTTTTGATATTGCAGCATCTATGGAGTGAATTTAACAGCAAGGTCAATCCCAGACAGATTCATCAATTCCCATAAGTCAAGCTTTTTTCTGCTGGTAAGTGCTGGGAAGCATAGAGTATGTTGCAAATACTTCCTTCAAGTATGCATTAGAGTCACCAATTATGAATGATAATGTTCACACACATCAGCTTGCAAGATAACTTTACTCATAGAATGTAGTTAATATAATCATGTAAACTTTTTATAGGTGTGTAATCATGACCTAATTGACTGAGGTGCTTGCTGTTACTGTTAAAATTTGTGCCATAGGTGCTTGAAATGATTATATTCATTGAAAAGAAGGGAGTCATGATTGCCATGTTAATATTTATGCAGTTTGAATTGTTCTCAAAATAGTGTAATCAATCATGCTTATTATGGCAATAGACTAAGACAATAACTAGATTGCTATTTTTGACGGGCCGGGCCGGGCTGGGCTTGGAATATTTGCCAAGAGCGGGCTACGGGCTGGGCCGGGCTCTGAACCCATGGGCCCGGGCCGGGCTGGGCTGGGGATTTGGGGGCCCGTGGCGAACACTGCAGTAAACCGCAAAATAACCAAACTATATTGTTAATAAAACACTGAAAATCTCTCCAATTTTACGGAAGTTGAAGGACAATAACAGAATTGCTCCAACTGTTCCTGTCGCTATGTTGCAGGCACTTTAGAAAATCAGTCATTTTGTAAAATGCCTAGGCATTTTACAAAAAGACGGCTGTTTGAAAAATGACTGAACGCAACCAGGCTTTTTTCAAAATGGCTAGCCATTTTACAAAATGACTAGGCATTTTGCAAAATGCCTGACCAGCATGATGGAACGTATAGATCCCACTACAGATACTATGGCCAACAGTTTTTGGACGTCTTCCTATACCCTATAGGTACGTGTTCAGCCTGTAGCTGATCGATTTGAAGCTCTGTGATGACGACAATGCTGCAAGTAACGACCAGGTTGAGTTGCAGACTCGGCTGTAGCATAAAGCATTGTGTGGCTTAAGCCCAGTGTGGACCACCCCTCCCCTCCTCAGTTGACTGGACAGCGCTCATTGGCTCTAAGGAACTTCAACAAGTCTACCCTAGGCCTATATCCACGCAATTGTTTACAGTATTATTGTTTAGGTTTTCTTCCTAACTTTTCTTTGATCACAATGAATATTAAAGCAATAATTAACAAAACACGATTAATTTTGTTCTGTGGCAACAGCTTTGAGTATACCTACTTGCATGGTCCCAGTTAAAAATACGAGTATCAAGCTCCACATCGGGAGAATCATCAGGTCGCTTGGCGTAGGACGAGAGCGTTGGTTTCAGAAGAAGTGTGTGGGATCGAATCCTCGCGACCTCTAATAGTTTTACAGATACAGGCCGGCATAGGGCCAGTCGTTTGTTGACGCTCCAGATCGATCATTTTAAATCCAGCAGCGTCGCTGACGTGGGAGTTGGAGATGTCGCGGGCCTGCACTTCTCAAAATAGAGGTAGGTATGGACTTCCCACTGCTGGACTCCTCTGGTCATAATGCTGGACTCCTCGGTCCACCTACACGCTACCAAAACGTATATAATTAGGTACTCGTATCTACAACACGCTGCTCAGTCATTTTGTAAAATGGCTAGGTATTTTGTAAAATGCCTAGGCATTTTGCAAAATGACTGGAGAGTCAGTCATTTTGTAAAATGCCTAGGCTTTTTGCAAAAAGCCTGGAAAATCAGGCATTTTGCAAAATGCCTAGGCATTTTACAAAATGACTGATTTTCTAAAGCGCCTGCAACAGCTATATACCTTCTCTCTCCCTCACCCCCTCTCTCTCCCTCTCCCACTGACCTCTGCCGCCGTCGTTCCACACGGAGTCGTCAGAGGACAGTGAGAGCAGCTCGGCGTTGCCTTTGACACACGAGTTGTACAGACGTACCCGCTCCTGCCAGGGCAATAGCTCGCCGCTCACCACCTGCTTCAGCCGACGGCGGGCGTTGGCGAACCACGTCGAAACCTGAGAGAAGACGACGCGCACGTTTGAAAAATGAAACTTGAGTAAAACTCAACCAACATGAGAGAGTAAGGGTGAAAGTCGAAATTATGACGTCACACCGTTCCGTGCTTCTATCCTCAGGATACTGAAATCCTTCTCCTCCACGCCGCAACCTCCCTCCGGGCTGGACAGGCAACTTTATTTCATGCGGGCTGCTCCCTTGGAGCGGCACCGCTGCTCCCGAGGGAGCGCACCCGGTAGCCGGGTGCAGTGAGTGCCTTGGGGCTGGGTGGCCTGTCCTCTGGACGGGCTCAGCCCCGGCGACTCACTAGGGTGCCTGCCCATACCAATGTCTCCCCCTATATCCTATCATCCTCTCGGCTCTGAAATGGTCTCATTGGACCGAAAGGGCCTAACCCAACAAAAAAATATGCCGAGAGAGTTAGGAAAATGATGTGCCAAGGCCATGACGATGAATCGATTGAGACGATGAATGACACGAACCGATAGACGAATGATGACGAATGCGACATGAGATATAAAAATACGGGCACACCGAGCGGTTGAAATGACACCGATAGATGAAAAACCTGATTGCGTGAGAGAAACGACGGAATCCACGAGCGATGAACACATGAATGCTCTATTGACATATTACAGTGCATTTTATCTCAAGCTGAAGGGAGTTTTGTTGTCGGATTGAAAGAAATATCAAACGAAGCAAGGTGGTTTCACTGAAATAAGATCTTTATGCTAATACAAAAGTTGGTCTTGGGATACCATTTAACATCCTTGATATAGGTGGGTATTAGGAGATGGGTTCAATGGAGGAAATTCTGAGTGTAGGGATTTTTATTGCTTGCGCCATTCTCCTGTAGCAGATTTGCTTACATACGTTCGCAATTGTGTACTTGCTGGACATCTGCAGCAACGTATACGTTATCATAGTATAACGTGCCGGATGGATGACACTGCACTTTATATGATTAGAAACATGTTTTTATTTACTCCGACGCAACATCTTGTCTGCGTACTGGGATGGGTCAGCGCCCCCCCCCCCTCTGGGGCAGGGATTGGTGCAGGGGGAGGGGGTCGAGGGCGGCGAGGAAGACCTGCCCTACGTCCGTCCGGTGCCAGCCCGGAACTGTCGGACCGCCGCGCCGGCGCGTCTGCCAGCGCGCGCGCCGCCGACACCGACGAGGAGCGATCGTCGCAGCCGACGGACCTCCGCGGCGACCACGTGGGTCCGACGACGCGGGAGACGGCCTCCCGTCGCAGCCGACGCGGTGGTGCCGACTCGGCCGGCGCGGCTCACGGGACGGACGGGAGGACCGATAAAGGCGATAGAGCTGGCAGGGATTTTGGAAACTTATCGATATTCGTTATTCATAACACTAGGCGGAAAGTGCATTTCATCAGCGACTTTCTGTTGAACCTATACAAAATTCACTCGTTCATATGTCCTCCAAAACTGAAGATGTGGCCTCAGGTCAGTGCCATGACCTGAGCTGAAAAGAGCGGTCATGGTACGTTGCAGGCAGCCTGTGTTTTAGAAATAAGTAATAAATCCATCCAAGGAGGTTTTATTGCACTGTTCCAGCTCAATTCTGACGATTGGGCTATACGGCAAGCATTGACTTGGTTCTTGAGGCTAGGTCATCTTAACGTGACCTGGTGACCTAGTATGGCTAATAAGTTTTATTTTTTTGGCGTAAAAGATATTAAATACCTTAGTTATATCAAAACAATGGAGATTCACGCCGCCGTTCTTAAATATTCACGAAAACTTGACATGGAGCGTAGGATCGCCCCCCCCCCCTCACACACACACACGCACACTATTACCATCACCCACCATGACCTTGGTTTATGTATCCCTCATAGCACCTCGCAGTCTCTTACCTGCTTCATTTGTGATTTCACGTTATCGACTCAATTCACATGGATCTTACTTTTTTCGAAGAACCCGAATAAAAAGATGTCTGAGTGCGATAGCTCATTAGCAACTGACAAATCACTGATCGCCGTCGTCGGCGCTCAGCTCGCTCCGCTCTGCGAGCAGCAATGCAGATTGCAGGTTCATCTCCCTTCCGAGCCCCCGTGCCTGCCTCACCTGTCCCAGGTTCATGCCGGCCGTCTCTCCGAGCTGCAGCTTTTCCTCCCTGCTCGGGTACGGATTGTGCCGGTGGCGCACCAGCCACCGTTTCAGCGGGTGCACCATCGCCTGTATCGCGGTGCGCTTCTTACGCACTTTGCCACTGCCGTGTCTGGCGACGGGAGAGACAAAATTAGGCTAGTTAGATTGCATATTGAGCACCATATGAAATTCACCCTACAATAGGAAATTCCGCGATCGAATGGTGGAGATCAGGGCCTAAGCGCGGGCTTTGGTTTTGTCCATTGCTCCAGTGAGCACATTATAACCAATAAAAAGTCCCCACCAATCAGATAAACGTCCAGCCTGAAAACTTGCGCACATCTTTAGTTACTGACCTGGACCTGTCCCGTCGCTGTTTGCTGGGCTCCCTTCTGACCTCCTCCCCTGGCGGTGGCCCGGACACTGCAGCTTCTCCGGCCTGCCGACGGATGTCGCTGAAGTCGGGGCCGACCATGCCACTGCCGAACGTGTGGTTGTAGGCGCGGCTGCGCTCCTCGGCGAAGCAGCGCCAGTAGAAGAGGGCACTCTCCTGGGGCGGAGGTGCCCCGAGGCAGACACGCTTGGCGGCTGCCTCTCCAGCGGGCGACAGGCAGGGCCGCTTGGCCGGGCCCGGCGCCGCCTCCGGCACTCCCGGCCAGGTCACTGTCACGTGCTCCATCAGTATAGTGGGCTGCGGGGCCATAAAAAGAAAACCTGCCGGGAGAGCATTTGACATTAATTGGAAGCTCTGAGCAAAATGCCCGAACAAAACAAACTGAAGCTGAGAAGGAAGTGTTTCAGAGCGAACACAGACTACCTATCACCCAAGGTAAAAAGTCCTTATATTCGCGTTGCGGAGCAAGCGGGCCTCCCTAGTTACTTACTATAGACGCAGCGCTTATTCAAGGTGCGCGATACGTAACAAAGGGCATCAAATTAGGGTTCAGCGGGCATTATGGCTGCATATCTCAAAGTTAGAGCTGGGCACGGTCAACCAAATATTACATAAACCGCCATCTCTGAGAATGACAGGGCGTCAGCCTGAGGACAGATGTATGCTAATTAAACATTCCTGACTTTTCGAGCCGTCCATCTAAGTTTTGTAGGTATTTCTGACTAAAACACGGCCGAATTCTGAGAATAACGCGGCGCCTCGGGGACGTGCGGCGGTGAGTGAGCTGACAGCAGCGCTCGGTCGAGAGAGGCAGCATGGCGGCGGAGCGCCTCATCCATCGCTCCAGCTGCCGTCTGTCACTGGGAGCTGTCACGCCGAGCGCGTGTCACCGACAACACGACCCCCCCCCCCTCCCCCTGTGCCGTGACGTCACAGCGCGTGCCGGACAGCCGGCGGCGATTGGCGCGTCAAAGACGACCGGCCGGTGACGACGACAGCAGGAGACTCAGACGGCCGAACCGGCGCGGCTGAGACGAGAGCGCCGCGCCAGCGCATTCTATAAACACCGGGCGCGGCAGAATTCCCGACTCCAATAAATCGTCGTGATCGACGAGCCGACGGCGGCGCGGTAAACCGTCGGCCGCGACGTTTGCGGCGAGCTGCGGCGTCGGCCGACGCGGCCGGTCGACGACCATTCAGCCACCCGCTGAGCGAGGCGCCGCGAGGGAAAATCAACGGTGGCCGCTGTGGTCGCAGACTAAAGGTCGCAGAGACATTTGGCGCCCGTGTGTTCACTAATTGATCACAAGCCATTTTTACTCTGTTTGCATTTTTTAGTTACGAAACCAATAATGGTGATTCAACCTCCTCTTATTCTTAATTTTTTCTTCATTGTCCCTCATTCTACTGTCATTAGCCCGCGCCGAATTTACTTCTGCCATTTTTAGGTCAGGTCAAAGGTCATATTACCAGAGTTCGTTCAAGTTCAAGTTTTCGACAAGCCGGCGCATACCTCGGGAACCAATATAGCTGCAGCGCCGCAGTAACGCGCTTTCAACAGCTTTTTAACGCTTTTTCGCTAACATGTCCTCAGATTTGACCTCAGATCAAGGGATTAGTCTCCAGAGGGCAAAAACTCAAAAACTTTTCCAATTCAGTGTGTCATGTTTTTTACCGGCAAACTGATCTTTGAGAGTATGTATTAACTGTAATGATAAACGTTCGTCCAAAAGAGGCACATTTCAATTTTGTCCCATTGACTTATAATGGAGAGGACGCCGAATTGACCTGACTTTCGTTCAGGAATATCGAAATTCCGAGATCAACAATTTATACATACTGCTACTCTTATCAATGGCTGAAAGTTCCAAAGCGATCGTTCGGTTGGCGTAGCTATGGCGGGAATTGGAAGTTCTTTTGAGCTTAGGTCATTTGACGTGACCTGGTAAACATCTCTTGAACGACCCGGGTCTGAAATTTTCGCAACATGTGCAGAAAAAGATGCATGATGAGGTGTGCCAAAATGGCCTCGCTGAGTGCCGACGTTTTTTATATTCGCGAAAAAGCCTGAGGGGGCGTAAAAGCGCCCCCCTCCCAGCACGGCGCGGACTGGTATTAAAGACGCAGACAATCTGTTGCGATAACATTTAGAAAAATAAAAGTTGCTATATAAAACTAGCAAACTGACGCCTAATCAGTGTTAAATAACCCATCGCACAGCAAATGACTTTTTTAGGTTGGCTGCGACGCCTCGAAATGATTGTCTAATGTTCTGGATGAAGGTGGATAAATGATTTTTTTTAAATCATGTTCCTAATTGCATTCCTTCAGTCCGTTCTTTTTTGAATTCGGTATACATATGTAAGCATAACGTTTTCTGTCGACACTGACAAGTAGGCTGTCGTGCACCGCGGCCTCATTCTCCCCACTGCACTGCCGTAGCCATTTGCCGCGATACCCGAGACGTTGTGATGTCACATCTACAAACAGGCCACTGTGCCTCATCTTGGTCAATGGTCAATGGTCATCTCTGCGCCCCAGGCGCCTCGCCGTACCAGCGTGACCGCTGCGTCTTTCATCGGCTGCATGGCGCGAGACTTGTGCCTTGCGGTACAGCATAGCTTCAGGCGCCGACTACTAGCGCCATCTATGAACAGGTGTGGACTGTGGAGTGTGGACGCAAGCGAGCGGCCGGCAACAGGCAACAATTTACGTGTCAGCGTATTGCACCTTACGGTCAATCGCGACTATTCAGCGTCATGAGATTCATTGGTTGTCTCAGACATTCTTGAAAATATGCACGTGAATGAGTACATAATTATTTTCACTTTCTATCATGTTATTTATGCTATTGTATTTGACAATTTACTCATGATTGCCAGAATATCGCTAAACGTTATGGTTGATGTAAAAAAGAACTCATTGTAGTCTTAGAGGCCGTATCTTCGCTTGTGGAATATTGATTTTTGCATTTTGCAAATACCTAGCTAGGTACAGCCACCGCTAAAGTAGGTAATGTGTGGTTTTAACAATCTCAACGGATGGCTTTGACCGACGATTTTTAAATGCGGACTGCTTGAAAAGAAGACGTCAATAGATAAAGTTGTAGCTGCAAGGGTGAAGATACATGTAAGCTACATTTAAAGTCTCGTTGCAGTCTGGCTAATCGTTCCTAGGCTTCAGAAGCAGAACATACCCATGACTGAAACCACACATTACTTCTGCTGTGGACTGTACCTATAAAAAACATTTATATGCATGCGTTTTTGCAATTTGTCGGGGATTGGCGTTGCGCTTTTTAGTCTGTATGATTTGTCATATGCATAGGTATTGGTCTTCAGTATCGACAGGAATTAAAAAGCGTTTTTCCCGCGACGATATCACTGTGAGCTAAGAGCATATGAGCTCAGGGACAACATGAGCCCCTGTATACCTACACACTAAAGAGAGCATTGCAACTTCTATACATACTATAGCTATCGCAGAATATAGGAGCGTGAATTTCGCCATAATTTTTCGTCAGTTCCTTAAAATGACAATGATGGTATTCATACGAGTTAGTAATTATCTCTAAGACGATATGTTCTCAATAATTTCATAGGTATTGATTCGGAGCCTATGACCATAAAACCCAACGCCGATTAAGACCCCAAATGTGACCCGTGATCCCTCACTGTCACTATGCTCATCACTGTCAGAACCCGCCCTCCTACATCCCACCAGGAATGTTTCACTGCGCCGGACCGGTCAGTTATGCCCTGAGGGCACGTCTGTCCTCTGGCCGGCCGCCGGGCGGGCGGCCCACCTGGCCAATAGCCGGCGGCGTCGGGGGCGGACAAGATGGCCGCGCCAAGGTGCGCTCGGGCCCGACATGCGCCCGGCCCGGCAGACAGACCGGCTCCTGGCAGAGTGACGTCATGCCATCCCTCCGCCACGGTCCCGACAAAACTCGGTGTAGATGGGCCGTGACGAGCGGCCGGCTGGCTTTTGATTCATTGAGGGATTCTTGGGCCGCTTCCGTCCCATTTTATCATATTTAATTGTGCTGGCTACCCTACTGGAAAGCGAAGACGCAACGGCTCACTTCTAAGAGCGTCGAAGGTTAGAACACAGCTTCCATGCGTGCAAAATGCATCTCGCTCCTTCCATTTCAATACATAATAAACTGTTCGCTTCCAACTCACGGAGCGTCGAGCAGATAAGTTTCGATGTAATAAGCGTCTACGTGCTGAAAAAAAAATCGGAATTTTCGCTTTGTAAAAATGACCAATTTGATCCGCATCATTTTTTCCATTGCTCTTCAGTGAAAGAAAAACGTAAGGTGTTAGACAAAGGCAGATAAGTCCAGGCGTTTGCCTGTGCCATTTTATGCAATTAGCTTACAACAAAAAATTCAAATAGACAAAGCCCATACACTCATGCATCGCCACCCATACACCCATGCACTAGATTTATGGATCCGCAGATGAACCTCTGAGAAGAACCTGAAACCATCCATGCAACTCGCTGCAAATGACATTGCATCATCACCAAACAAGCTGGATGGGGCCTGTAAACAGAAAGCAAAGCGGATCAACTGTCGTCCATCCACATGGTGGGGTTAACAGAACTGAGGCCTAGACCGGCACTGCAGTAGCGCGGTGGAACAGTGGAACAGTGCACCGCATCCTGAGCGAACCGGTGAAGCTGTGAGAGCTCGGTTCGAGTCGTTTTCATACTCGCTATTCTTTCCCGACAGAGATGGCCGTCGGTCAGTGGCAGTCGTCGCAGTAGAGGTCAGGGAAAGTCGGTGAGTGAGGTAGGTCATATGCGGCTGTGCTGGGGTCTAGACACGTTTGCCTCTAATTATGAGGTGCATCCGGGATTTCCGAATCGGGCGGTCAGGAGCTGCACTTCTGGGCCCACGAGACATTCTTCCATATAAAAAGCACTCTGACTAAATGTCTTACAAAAGGTGGTTGGCAAGTTCGATATCTTATAGAAAGATTGAGGCGTGCCTAAATCCACAAGAATGGAGCTGTCCGCAAAAAAGTGATTAAGTGCCTATCCCCCATGGTTAGTGGAGTACGGCTCTGAAATAAAATCAGAAATATCACCCACAAACCACCAGCTGGTGGTTTGTGGGTGATATTTCTATTTTCATTTGAATGTAAGACTGACCACGTTTGCATAGGCACTCGTGATCCGATTACTAAGTTTAATCGTTTGTTTTCTCTTGTGAATTTCTCGTTACAAGCCTTGACGGTAATAGTACTCGTATTATCAAGGTTTTCCCAAAAATCTCA